GAGTTAAGTTATATAAGACGATGACAGTACCAATTGTGTTATATGAATGCGAGACCTGGACCTTCTCGAAAAAAGAAACAAATAGTGAGAGCCGCAGAAATGTTATTTCTTGAGCTGTGTAATCTAGATGTGTGAATGGTGTCCTCTAGATGGCAAAATGAGTGAAGAAATACGTAAAGAGTTTGTGATATTTAGTCTTGAGAAGGTCAGTGACACTAAAATGAACTAGTGCAGTCATATGGAGCGAATGAGCAGAAGCCGAATTCCTCGACTGGCAAGGGGCTACAAACCATTCGGCCGAAGGAGTATCGTTCATCCGAAAAGATGCACTTTTTTACCACTAGTTTATTTGGTATAAAATTTTCTTTTCTTGTAAACGACTGTTGTTTTGATTAAATTTTTTTGTTATTGTATAGTCTGAAGGACGATACAGACGGACGAAATGAAGGACGTTTAAGAGAATAGTGCAGGTCTCATGTTGAAAACCCTGATTTTCCGAAAACTGAAAAAAATCATTTTCCGGCGGCTTCCTACAAATACAACTATGAAGATAAACACCGTTTTCTTAACGAAGTGTGTTCAAGAAACACAGATTTAAAAAATGTCACGTTCAATTTTTCAAAACATGAGTATATTTTGCGAAATTTTGTGTCAAACATTCGCAATTTTTATTTTCTTTAAACAGTTTTTTCTTAAAAAACCACAATTTTTTTATTAAATTGAGATCTTAGTGTAGAGAACGCTTAAGAGGATGGTGCAGGTCTCATGTTCGTTAAAATGCCTGATTTTTCGAAAAGTTAAAAATATTAAACATTTTTCGACGTCGTCTTAGAACTACAATTGTGAAGATACAATTTTTTCTTCATGAAGTTCATCAAAAACATATTTTTAAAGAAGGTCATGTTGAATTTTTTTGAAGCTATCATTATTTTGGGGGTAATTTGGCGACAGTCGCCCGCTCCGAATTTAGTGCGCATCGTGAACTAATTCCAGGCAGTTGGATGCTTCATAAGTTAGGATTTGTATATTATTTATTTATTTGTTTTTTATTCTTACATTCGAGCTTGTTATTCATTTACAAATTAATATTGTAGAAATTATTTATAACCTATTTGTAATATGTAAAAGACACTGTTCTTGGTTCATACTTATTGCGCATCTTGAACTGTTCATCCGATTGCGATAAAACTTTGTCAACGTATTGCTTGCACTTGTGGGAAGAATATAGGGATAGTAAGATGGAAATGTGCGTCTACGTTTGTAGGCATAAGCACGTTGATAATGGTTTTATGCTGACTCAAGCAACCCCGTTCCGGCTATCTACGCAGCCCGCAGCACCCTGAAGTATTAAGAGTATCTGCCCCTGCGATTGTGAAATAACACCCAGTAGGTATAGAGGGACACAGAGGTACACATAGACGCAGAGAGAAACTAATAGAGAAGAGAGACGGGAGAGACCCAGAGACCATTTGTAACATCAGCCTTTTCTCTTTTCAAAGATGAAACGTAATATTTATTGCAATACTTTTACATAATTTTAGAGAGCTCATGAATTAAGAAATTTCCTTTTTGTCCGAATTACATGAATTTACGACGACTGCTACTACTGCTACGACTGTTAACAATTGCTATTACCACTGATACGACTGCTACTACCACTGATACTACTGCTACTACCACTGGTACGACTGCTACTACCACCACTGCTACGACTGCTACTGCCACCACTGGTACGACTGCTACTACCACCACTGGTACGACTGCTACTGTTACTACTACCGCTGCTACTACCACTGCTACTGTTACTACCACTGCTACTAACAAAATTAGTAATCTATCTTTTAAACCCATTGTTATATGTGGAGATTTCAATATTGATTTTCTGAGCGAATTCCACGAAAAAGAGCAGTTTCTATATTTACTGCATTCTTTTAATTTAGATATTACTGAAGATGTACCTACACGGAAAACATTTACATCACGCAAAGCAATACATCAAATTATAATTAAGAAATCCACATCTAGATATAAAATAAAAACTACTAATCTAGGTGACAGTGACCATGATGCACAAATTCTTACAATTACTAATAACATGAACACTGACACAAATTATTCACGCATGTGCAGAGCATTAAAATTATTTACGGACTACTTGCTGAAGGAATCATAGAACACAGTTTATAACACTGTTGACACAAATGAAAAATATTATCTATTTTTCTCAAAACTTTCATTTCTCTTTAACGCATGCTTTCTTCTCAAAAAGAGAAAATGAAATATTTCACGGAAAAATACTTGCATCACACAAGGGATAAGAACACAGTGTAAAAACGAACGTACGCTTTACTTTATTTCTAAAAATCATAACGTATCACCGGGTTTCAATGTCTACTTCCGAGATACAAAACAATCTTAAGAAAAGTAATATAGTTCAGGCAAAAATAATGAAAAATAATCATATTTTAAACGCTAGTAACAAAACTAAAGCAATGTAGAATATCGTAAAAAATACGACCACATCTCGTTACTTAGTAGAGAATGTTTCAAAGCATAATGAAGGAGAAGCCAGTAGTCCGGAAAAAGTGGCAATCTCTTCAACCAACACTTTTCTAGAATTGCGGCTGAACTCACGAAGGGACTAAACCCGTCCAATTTAACATCATTACCTTCCCAAAAAAATTTCGACACGATTTTTATTTCCGAAACTACTTCTAACGAAATCTTACGAAGAGTCAGTAAACTAAAAAATAAATATTCATCTGGTTTAGATGAATTTCCGGATTGTTTATTGAAACTTGTGTACTTGCCGGTTAATTCACATTTCCAATGCTTCTTTATCCACAGGAACATTTCCAGATATTTACAAAACTGCAAAAATTAAGCCCCTTTTAAAACGGGAGCGAAAGTGGAATTAAAAATTACCGACCAATTTATCTATTGTTGGTTTCTCTAAAATATTGGAGAGGCTTTTCTATACGCGAATGGAAACTTTTCTCAGGAAAAACAATGCGTTTTCAGTCTCACAACACGGGTTTAGAAAATCAAAATCCATGGAAACGGCCATTTTTTATTTTCTTAAAGATGTTGCTTCATCAATGGACCAAAATGAAGCACCCATTGGAATAGTTTTAGATCTTTCGAAAGCTTTTGACGTTATTGACCATAACATCAAAGAAGTAGAAATACCTTACTGGCACGAAAGGACATTATTTACTTATCTTCCCAATTCTTTACCTATTGAATATCGGGTTCCGCAAGGCTCGATCTTAGGTCCTATCCTCTTTCTGTTATACGCGAACGACATGCCGTCATCTATTAAACACGGAAGAACGGTTGTTTGCCGATGACACGAACATGCCATCCACGTTACCACTGTAAGTCTCTTCATTGAGCTTGAAATCTTACCACTCCCTTGCCTATATATTTACGAATCTGTAATATTTGTCAAAAGTGACTAAACGGTGGGAACATTTTCATGCAATACTGATATTTATAATTACAACAGACGTAAAAATACCCGTTCATCAAGTGTCAGTATCAACAGTTCACTATCAGAAATCCACATACAATACATGTACGTTACTTTACAACGCACTGCCAGATGACATTAAACAATAGAAGTCGATTCAAAAATTTAAGTTACAAGTAAAATCTTTTCTGCTGCATAACTGTTTCTATACAATTAGAGACTATACTAATTATCAAAAATAAAAATAAAGTTTATTTTAACAAAATAGTGATATATAAAGAATTAGTTTACATTTGTATTGTACATATATTTTAAAAATACTTAATATGGTTGTAACAAATAATGTACTTCAGCGTCCGGGTCAATGACCCCCATCCCGATCAGGTTTTTGTCCAGTTTCCCTGATCTATTGAGCAAATGATGAGATGGCCCGTTGTTTTGCTTCTGTACGTAAATGTAGTTTCACTATGCGCACGTTTTGTTGAACTCTCTCCTTTTGCTTGTAATTGTATGAGTAGAGGTAAGGGCGAATTGCTAATTTGTTAGCAATGCAGAAATATCATACTTGCAATTCGTGTACCGATGCAAATAAGTTTTCTATAACTCAGAAGTGAAAATGCCTATTTTTCAAATATTGATAACCTTGAGATTTTAAAATTTAACTATATTTATGTTAAACTTTTACTCTTTCAACTATTTATAGTTAAAATGACGGGAAGAGATTCTGGAACTCAAGAAAACGTGCGCAGATAAACTTTTCCCACCTACGCCACGTACTGTTTTTACTGTTTTTTTTTTGACTGAATATATCTAAATCTGCTACCAATACTACTAGTACTACGACGACCACCACCATGACCACTACTTGTATGTGAACACTTTTAATAGTTTATTCTATTCACATAACAGTTAAAAAAGAGCGCAAATTAAAGAAGTTGATGTCCCCATAAAACCAAATTAATCTCATTTCATGCAATTCGGTACATTATCATTTATCATTAATTTTTAAAATCATTCCTGTACCTGAGAACAAGCTAATAGGCTAAGGCACTTAATTGCACTTTTTTTGTTTATTTATCCATATCCCTATCCTGTTACATTTCTTTGTAAGCTTCGTCTAGCTCGTCGAAAGACGCATTCTTTGACAAATATAATTTTTTTCTGGTTACGCATGATTTAATTGAGCAATTTTATGTCTATTAGAGGTTTTCTTTCGTTTATGGTGTCACTTTTATTGGAAAATATTAGCATGTTTTTGTTCCAACAATTAGCAGAATTTTCCACTTCAATAGGAGTTACAAATGTCATATTTATTCTGGGAGCACAGACATGATCTGATTTCAAATTTGCGTTTTTGGACATTGGTGATGCATGCTTTTATTATTATATATGTGTGTGCGCGTGCGTGTGCATAACCAGTCTAGTTACTTCATGTTTATTCTAGCTTTTTCATTGCCTGAGCAATAAATCTTTTTATACGATGCTTTTGTGCTGCTGAAACTCTGAAAAACATTATTTCATGTTCCAGGATTATTTTTGATCATGTGATTTGTGGACTTCAAGCCAGTAGATTTTCTTGAAGTGGATGGCTTTGAATCTCAATTCTGCATTCCTCGTACACTGAACCATCTAAGACTATTCAACCCATAGGTACTGACTTTTTCAATTTGTTTTGAAGAAATCTTGTTAACAACAGTGAGACCGTGTGTTGAAATTATTAAATGCGTTTGAATGTTTCATAGCTGTACTGATATTTCCAATGTTCTTTCTGTAATTGGTGTGAAACTATATTCCATATTTTCTAAGTGAATGGATATATACCTACAAGTTTTTGCATGTTTGATCCCCGTTTTATGTTTTATATGAATGTATTTTCGGGCACACCGTGTTTTTTGTGCGTTGATATATAATTCACATATATCTATTTATTGTAATGTTTATTGGCTGTTGTTACATTATTATGGTATATGTCTCATCGAATGTCATTTTTTTCTTGTGTTCCAACGTGTAAGTTATTTTTTCGTACGCTCTGACTTTCTTCCAACCAAAGCACAGTGGTTGCCAATATGCAAATATGCAAAATGCCGCAATATGCAGCAATGCAATGATGTTCATGAGTATTGTACCAAGTATCACCAGCCCGTGGAGGTGGGTTGGTCCACGTCCTGACAGAGGGTTGCAGGGAGAGCTCTCAAGTATTTTTTCTTTCACCAGTTATCTTAATCTTCCTCCATCGTTCATTCTCGTTCTTTGTTAACATCCTGGCTCTTTTCTTCCCTTTCTATTTCATTGCGCCCCCCCCCCGCTGTATGGTGAACCCCCACCCATGCGTTTGCTGTGCATGGCGACCAGTGACGGAGGGAATGTGTGTCCTGGCAGTTAAGCGACCTGTTTTTTTCCCCACCTACTCCTTACGCTACTTTCTGCTTTGTGCCTAGGGATACGTTGTTTACATATTTTGGGAAACATTCCTTCTAAGTTTCCAAGACACTTGCTTTAGCCTCGAACTCTTCTAGACGAGCGGTCTGGAGCTAATCCACTCCCGATTAATCGGCTCGGGCAAAGTGTTGTACTGAACTCCTGGGTGAGGGGGGGATCACGGTGGGGCAGCGCTGTCATTCCTCCACTATATCTCCGTGGAAACCATGACTCTCCGATGGAGTGTCCCCTTGTTTTGGCCACGTGGTGGGTGGGGACCACGGTGATGAATCATATCCATGGGTGCTAATACTTCCCCCCGCCCTCTTCCGCAAGGAAGAGGAGATATACGGAACAAACTCTTCATTTAAATATTTTTTTTGCAAAAGCTGACAGACCTAAAAAGCCTATTTTCTTCATGGCATGCGCCGAGCCAGAAAAAAGTTTGAAAACGTAAGTGCTGTCCATCTGGCACAAGCCGTAGAGGAATCATACGGGAAGCTCCACGCAGTCGTGCGACGGAAATGGAACGATTCTCTTTGAAGCACATACCAACGAGCAAATAGAGAAATTATATAAAACCAAGCAGACTGCCGGCCTGGCTGTGACGACGCACCCAACTTTGAAGGTGTGCAAAGGCGTCGTGCACTTTGCTTCCGAAAGTGAAGAAGTAATCACATTTTTCAAGAGTCAGGGCGTGAAGTGTATATAATCAAAAGGAAAGAGCAGGGGAATGTCATATCTACTTCAACCCTGATCCTTACGTTTGAATGTCGGTCCCTCCCGGGAAGGATCAGTTGTGGTTTCTACAACCTCCATGTGCTACCAAATCCTTTGCACTGTTTTAAGTGTGAAAGGTTTGGGAATACGCAGCAACGATGTATGTCTGTAAGCTCAGTGTACGGGAAGTGCGTTGCATCAGTACAGGATCCACCTCTGTATGCTACACCACGGCACTGTCAATTGTGAAGGTGGCTATCCATCCAACTTCAATCAGTGCCCTACCTTTCTCCGAGAAAGAGAAATTCAGAAGATAAGATAACCGAAGAGGTTTCATTCCCTGAGGTCAAACGCCGGCACCAGGCTAGAAATTTACTAGACCAGTCACGATCCTTTTTCAGTACTTTAAAGCCTTAAGTCCTCAATGGTAACAGCAAGTTCTCAAACACAGGAAGCTCCAACTCTAGTAGCGCACTTCAGTTGTCAGGTGTCGCCTATAGACTTGCCTGAAGATACGGCGTGCATCCAAAGTAGAAAGGTAATAATATCAACAAAGTTTAAAAAACCTACCCAATAATTCATCTAGCCATAGATCACTTCTACTGAGCTCCTTAAGACAGTAGATTCCTGCCAAATCTCACTTATGATAAAACATTCATCTAAGTCCCGACCTCTTACTACTTCCGTGACTCGCATTGAGCGATCTTCTAGTCCATGTAGTTGTCAGCCTCCTGTGGAGAAAAACGCAAAAACACAGGCGACAATCTCCAGCAGCAGTGTGGATGACTGCTGTGGACGAAGAGTACCACGACAATTCCTGTACAACTTTTCAAAAGGCGAGAAAGAAAAAAAGCCAAAGAAGTAATTCCCTACAATGGCTCTCTCGTGGCTACAAACGGCAATTCTCTACAAACGGCTTTCAGGCAGAAGAATTAAATTGATAATTTCTCGCTATAGACATCTATTGTCTGCCTTCAGAAAAGCTCACCTTCCCCATCATCTTCTCTGTCTTCGCAGGTTGAACGCCTATCGGTTTGATCAAGATGACCGACTGCGTACTCACGGTGGCGTCGCGGTACTTCTCCGCGAGTCCCTGTTCTCAGAGGAACAAAACGCCCGAACCGACGTTCAAACTGCGATTGTATGCAACCACTGTCCTTTTCGCTAACGGTGTGCAATATATTTATTCCTCCTGGCCAGCCCGTATCGCAACAAGAACGTGAAAATTTGTTATATCGGTTAACTGCCCCTTTTCGGATTGTGGGGTACTTTAATGCCCACAATCCCACCTGCGGTGACACAAGAACCTGCTCGAGAGGCCATATACTAAAATATTATTCACAATCAGAACATACTTCTGAATAAGCGGGCGAAAGCTTACATTTTTCCGTGGCCTCAAATACTTTCTCGTCCGTCGATCTGGCACTCATCAGTCCAGGTCTCTGTACCATCTTTGAGTGGACTGTCCTTGCCAATGTACGGATCAGCACAGGCGCCTACCCCACGAGTTGCAATAAGTGCCTCTTGACCGAGGCTGGTGGACCATACTTGAGCCAAAGGTGAATTATTGTAAATGGCTCCTATGGTGCGAAAGTATCAGCTATAAGTACTTCGCGCCAAGCAGCTCTTCACCCAAGTCACAGAACATGGCACGCACTCGGACCATCGTTACCCCATACTTCGGGTATCGGTCTCTACACACTCTTATGGAAACGCGATATAAAACTTCCCATCCCTGTGACCCCCCCCCCCTTCGAAGTCTTGTCCCTCCTTGGAAACTTGTGTGGTAAAATAGACCTGGGGAAGTCAAACAATCCTCAATTCTCCCCAGTACATTTCTGCCGGAATTTCTGGAGACGAAATCCATCTATCCTAGCTATAACTTCATGTACCCTGATGGTTCCAAACTGATATAGTAGGATGCGCCTTCTACTGCCATAGTGGCACCCAGTCTTCGAATAGTCTTCGTGCAGTTTTTATTCTGCAGGCGCTCTTGGAGGCACGTTTGTTTGCTGAATCGATTACGTTAAAGGAAGCAGTGATTTGCAGCGAGTCAAAAAGCTCGCTCGAATCCATCTCCTGCCTCTCTTGTTGTGACCCTCTGACAGTGATTATAATTTATTGTGGCGTCGTTATAATTTTTTTGTTTAAACCCCTGGTCACGTAGGGATAATAGGAAGCGAAAAGCACTCCTGTTCTGTTCTAAGGTAAGAGATAGCCGCCGAAGGCATCGCATTGCTAGCTTTCTAGCAGAGGTCTTTCGAAATGACAATCTTTTCTTTGCAGTCTTTTTAAATTCTTACGACAGACTGGCATTTACAGCATTATCTGAGAGGAGGATTATTTAGCTTTTAGTTGGAGATTTTAAATCTATTTTCTGCCAAACCCTTTTTTATAATTGAACATGTTCATTTTGAATTTTACTCACGTTTTACTTTGGATTAAAAATGTAATTTAGCATTGCTCATAAAATAATTTGGCACGGGTGCCAATGACCTTAGCTCTTGAATCGTCCTTAAACCTTAATCACCACTAAATATTAATATGGGTTGTAATTGGACATAATTAAATAGATATTAAGTTAAAAAAAAGGACAACAAAAAAGAAACAACCATACGGACCGACAAACAAATTGAAAAAAAGAAATTCAGTACCATGCGGATTGCCGGCCTCTAAGTGGAAGTGACCATTCACCCTATGTTCAACCTTCGTAAGGTATTGATTTTGCTAAAATTGCAAGGGAAAGATGCCAAAGGAACCAATTTGCATGTTTCAGCCCTTTGAAATTGATAACAACAAAGGAAATGTACCAAATATGAAGTAAACTAGTTCAATAGAGAACAACAAAAATGTACTCTGTAACCACTAATTGCTTCATATGTAATAGAGTATCAGCATTACTCGCCATCACCTCACACATTACTCTACAATTTCCTAAATGAAACTACACAAAATCTTATTTCTCAGAAAATCGAAAGTAATTCTACCTTCAGGGGATTTAGTACTGGTATCTTATTGTGGGAAAAGAAGTGTTAGTTTTTTTGTGGGTCAAGTTATTAAATTGACCAAGAAGTTATGAAATAACGTTTCTGGGAAAAAGTGATGAATTCAGAAAAATACTTGCCAAGCGTCTGTGTAGAAAACATCTTTCAACTTTTGGATATGATCTAAATTATTGTTTATGTGCGTGAAGGCTTACAGAAGGTCGGCTTTAAGGGTATAGAGAGTAAAATGAGTAGAACGATTAGTAGCCATGTCAGGAATGCGTTTTTAATGTAAAATACAAGAAAATTCAGATACGAACACGCACCTAGCTTAATATCTTTAAAGTGTAAAATTGATGTGTATTCAATAAATTAAAAGTTATATTTCGGTACTAGAATGACAATGTTATCTACAAAGTCGATTGAAAGCTAGTATTTACGAAATTTGGCAATGTGGTTTCGTAGATGGTCGTCCACTTAAGCTGCAACTATTTAATACAACCAGTAGACTACCATGTAAATAGGTAA